AAACAGAACTGTCGTGGAATCGCTCCAGAGTACTTTGCGGTGAATCTTCAGTGTATGGTTAAAAATAACGGTTTTCAACAGGCGTGCTCCCATAACAGCGGCTTGTAGCTCCAACCGGGGGATAGATAACGGTTTGAGAGGGGCGCCTTTCGTTTTCGCAGAAACTAGGCAACAGCGAACGATCCCATGGTCTAACACTCGAAAGTACGCGCAGGCTGCATAAGCTGCTTCGCTAGCGTCGACAAAGATATGCAACTCCAGAGAATCGTACGCCTGAGGCCCGTAGCCGGGAAAGTAGCAACGGGGGATCTTCACCTCATTGAACTGCCGCAAAATCTGGATCCATGTTTTCCAACGACCGAACGTGTCTGCCGGGATGAATTCATCCCAGTCTACACCGGCTCTCCATAGATCTTGAAGTAACACCTTTCCATGAACGAGAACAACAGCCAGCAATCCCAGTGGTTCGAAGACGCTCATCACAAGACTCAGGGCTTCCCGTTTTGTCGGAATTGTATCACCAGTCATCAAAGGCTGGAGGTTTTCGCGCAACTGGATTGAAAATGAGAAGACATCCTCCGCCGGTTGCCACGCCATGCCTAATACACGCTCTGTACTGCTACATTTATCCATCACGAAACGTTTGCTTATTCCTTCGCTGCATGCGCTGATTCTATCGATGACATCTGACAAATTCGACAACCAATGTCGAATCTCGAATCCTCCCTTAGCGTGAATCGTCCTTACTTCATCCACCAACTGTACCGCTTCGTCGACTGTATCTACGCTGTCTAAATAATCGTCGACGTAGTGGTTTTCCTTCACCGCCTCAGCTGCTTTCGGGAACTCCTCTGCCAGTTCATCCGCATTCAAATTGTTAACAAACTGTAGTGAACACGGAGCAAGATCTGGTGGAACGCCTCCCGTATATTTCCACTGATGGCAACCTGTCTTTGCCGATATCGACTGAGTACCGCCGGAAGTGGAGTAAGCAGATCCGGTCCTTTTAAAAGAACGGAATTGAGGGACACACCTTGAACCTTCGAAGCTGCATCCCAAACTACGCGCACCTTTCCCGACTTCTTCGGGTTAACGACGACCCCTAAGGGCAAGTACCACACTTGCTTCGGATCCGTTGCTATATGGGCGTAGCCTTTCGCTTGATATGCCACGATCTGCTGCTTGACCTCAGAATACAGCTCTAGAGATTTCAGCAAACGCTTCTCCAGACAGTGTAGTCTGCTGTTGGGGAACTCTACTTGGTCATATTTCCATAAGAGCCCCGTCTGGAACCGTCCACTGGGAGTACGAACTGTAGTGGCTTCTAGAATTCTTCGAGCGCGTCGGTCGTCAGCAGAATCCAAAGCGTTTGGCGAGGATACTCCCGCGCCTTCGACCCGAAAAACATCTTTCACTAGGTCGTGAAGTAGCTGATCACAGGGTTGGCTACACATGTGAATAATGCGGCGAGATGTACGTTCGTTGGGACCTCGGTTCCGTCCGAATACCACCCAACCAATCCGAGTTTTCGTTGCTACTGGCTCATCGGATGGCATTCTAGGGAACTGCATGAATAATGTTTTGAAGATCAAATAAATTACCAGTAATTAAAAATTTCAACTTTAAACACTGAAATGTACGCAATTTTACAAGTTTTTTTTTATACTCTAAACATACTTTTAAATTTTGATGTATCGCAATTAACCTTAATCGAGTTCCTCTTAAAGAAGCTTTTATAGATAAGACTTGCATTTTTCATTTGGTATAAAAAAAAAACAGATTAATATTAAATCCCTTAAATTTGTCGAACCTCTTAACGGGATCCCTTTAAGAGCTTTGAGTGGGTTAGTTTAATTTAGGATTGGGCGATCTTGGATCGATCTTTGGAAAATCGATCTTTTTCATTCCGATTTCCGATTTTTCGGATCGATTCTTTGTCCACGAAAAGATCGAAAAAATCGATCCCTTCTTCCGACCTTTTCGATCTTAACGAGTCAAGGCCCAAACGCAATGTGGGTGGAAGCGGAACGGAAACGGAAAGTTTGACAGTTGTCAAAAATAACATCAAGGTGCCTAACCGAAGTCGATTTTGTTCTAACTAGTTTTCATTCCGAAAAGTAGGCTTACTCAGATCGGGCTTTTCCGCTGCCGCTGCCATTCCGTTTCCGCTGTTGTTGCGCTTGGACCTCACCCCATACTGCGTGGTAAATTAAACGAACACAACATTTGACGATTTTAACTACATCCCTCCTGTGCTGATTGCTCCTTACCGTCACGACAACATTTAATTGAATATTATAAAGGATATAATTTCTTGGGGTACCACGTAAACAAGATTATTGATGGTCCGAAAGTGAGGATAACAATAACAAACCAATACTTTTGGCTAGAGCGAAAGTGAGGATAGCAAACTAAGCACTTGAAAAAATAGCAATACTAAAGTGTGCGAGTTATAAACGTCATAATGGTCATAAGATCGATTCTTTTGTAACGATCGTGGATCGATTTTAGAGCCAAATATAAGATCGATCCGTCAAGATCGATCTTTCTCTGAAGGTCGCCCAATCCTAGTTTAATTCCTTTAAATTCCGTTATAATTGCTTATCTTTTGACAGATACGCGTATTTCGTCTACTACTTGCAGACTTCATCAGTGCCAAGTACTCAACACCACTGAAGAATCCATCTTTTATCTACGAGTTAAATACTAATCAATAGGTACTAAAAATCATCAGGTATCCACTGCCATGTCACAATTTACCTAAACAGGTACCTAAATTTAGTCTCCAACAGTTAGATGCATGCTACGATGTGCGGTTTTAGGTAGCATGCTAAAGAGTCTCGAGTATCCGTTTCCTTGATCTCTATTAAGGGGAGGTTTACTTGGATTTGGCTGAAAAACAGTTGAACTTTGGATTTTTTTTTTCAGGAGAATGAAAAGACATACGAACTTCCGGTTTCGATAATTATATTTGTCCACTATTCCTGAATACTTGGAAATTTTTGAAGGCAAAAAACAAAATGGCGGCTCGCGGGGGGGAGTGTCAGTCAGGTTTTGCTGCAGAACTTCGAGTGCACACCCTCTGGTGAACTGAAATGAAGTTTTTTTTTTATTGTGGTTAAAGTTGATAATATTCCCTATGGCTTATACCTAACTAGAACAAAATCCGACAAAAATTGACCAAATTATGGACATTTGAAAATTTAGTGCTTTTTTTACCCCTTTTTTTCTCACTTTGACCTTGCTTAAAAAATAGTAACTAACAATTTTTTTTTCATTTTAGGTATAAGCCATACAAAAAATAGTATCCTTCAAAGCGCAATTTTCCGATTGTAAATCGGATCATTTGTTCAAGCCCTATGCTCTAAGTTGTTATAAAAAATATGGTTTCGAGAAAAACGCGTTTAAAGTTTTTGGTGCGTCCCTCAGCGCGCATGACAAAGGTTCACTCAAAGCGCCATAACTCGCTAAATAGTTTCGGATCGTAAAATCCTTTTGGCCACATATTCTACACACTTGTAGCTTTCATTTTATGCAAAAAAAATCATTTTTTTTAAAAAATCCAAGTAAACCTCCCCTTAAGCAATGCTGATGGATTATGTTTAAATATTTCTAAACTTTCTGCTACGTCTAGTTTTCAAGGCGAAGATACACTCCGCAGGATATTAATGTTATCCTTTGTCAAATTGTGCCCCTTTTTAAAGATATGTTCTGCAACCTTGGATTTAAATTCGTTCATCCATCTCTTTGTTAGCCTTTGTTACCTCTGCGATGTGTTCCTGAAACCTTGTTTCCAAAGTCCTTTTCATCGGACCAATGTAGAGTAAGATATTTATTGAATCTTTTGATGATCCTAACAGTGATTTTAGCTGATTTGTCCTGCTGCTTAGTACTAAATCTAGGCCAAAACTTCTGAAGATTAATATTGAAAAAAATATAGCTAATTAAAGTTGGCTATGGAAAGAAACATAGAATGTTGAAACTTAGGAGTTATTTTCAACCCTATGTTTCATGAGGATTTTTTCAAAACTTTGGGTGCTCTATCCAATATAGAAGCCGGAATCAAACACCCTGTATATTTAGTTGCATCCACTTAAAAAAGCACATCTAAAGTTATCAGTCGTTTAATTACACTTAAATTTGACAAGCACATCTAAAGTTATCAGTCGCTAAATTACACTTAAATTTGACAACACTGTAAAAAAAACTTATCTTTGTATTGTATTTCATATTTTTTGCTTTTGTTGATTCAAACCGTAACATCTCAGGAACTACGCAAATTACTTTCAATTGTTAAGTGTTTCTTATGTGAAAAAGAATGGGTAACACGATGGTTTCGTCAAATGTCAATTTAAAATACACTAATTCTGAGAAACTTAATATAAATTAAAAATATTTGGCAACACTGTTCAGAAAAATCTTTCCAGACTTAGTTAAAAATCTTAGTTAATTTTCTAATGAAGCAGTAACTAATGCTTTATTTGATCCGCAGATATTTTCAAATGAAAGTAGTATTTTATTTAAAATCTCGAAAAGTATACAATGCTCCCGATCAGCTCAAAAATCTAAAAAAAATTAAAATTTGGTTTAAATAATCTGCTTTTCTAAATTTGGTCAAAATCGACAGAGGTTAATACACTTTTGCAATTTGTCTCGCTCACTTGGCGCGGATTGACCCACATTTAATATTGATTCAGTTGATAGCAGCATCTTAGATCAGCCACTTGCATCAGTGGCTTTGTTTGGCTAACGATCAGTTTCCATCATGCACATAATTGTTCAAACTGTTTGTGAAAGAATATTCCCACTTCGTATCCGTGTCATCGTTAGCATTGACATAAGTTATTTGAATGCGTGACATACGCCCACCCCCATCCACGAAGCTTTCCACCTCAGAAAAGTTATAATTAATACCGTTGAAGCATAAAATCGATCTCGCATTGAATAAATGGGTACTACAACACAATTGATACGAATGCCTTCTTCTTTTCATCCTACAGGTTGCCTTTTCGCCGAGACGCTATGCATCGAACATCTGGAATGGTGCTACGATGGTAGGTGTTACATTGCTTTGCATTACAAATTACGGATCCGTCACGGCACACAGCTTGATGGAACTTTATTTCATTTGTTGTACGTGATGAATTTACATTTTCATAGCATCACACACAAACACACAATTTCAATGGCCGTGGATCATGCCTTTGCAGGAAATTACATTTTTCCGCTGTGCGCAAAGTCCGTAGTAGAAACTTTCCTAATTGGTAATTTTCCTGCCCGTCGGCTGCTGTGCCGACCATCCAACGACGTATCGTTTCTATTTAATTGATAACGAAACCAACCTGGCCGCTAATGAGTAACTCGATTGTAACCTATTACATTGTTTTCGCAGATTTCTCATTCGGAAAATGTCTCCCGCAGTATGGGCTGGAACCGGAGGAGCTCTTTCGGGAAGCTTTGGACGAGGAACAGTCTCGGTTTTTGGCGGTCATGCTGGAGGATTTGCAGGGAGCCGGCCTGGGATGGGAACACCCCTTTACCCAGTGTCGCATGCAGGGAGCCCTTTTCGCGATGCGAACCAATTCCGAGATTCCACGCAGTCTCTGCGCAAATCTGGCACCCGATCCGGAAGTTCTTGACCCGCAAAGCCCTCTGGCCTTTGTTCGGTTTACCCCTCCCAATGATGAGTACGCCGACGAGGTGTACTATCCGCCCCTGAAGAAATCCCAAGTTCCTAACCCCCGTTCCACGATAAACGACAAACGCTTCTTCGTGTCGGCCAGGAAACCTACCAAAAAATCCTCTCCAGGACGTGAAATCTTCTCCGAGCCAGTAAATCCCCTGTATCCGAAAATTCGTCCTGTACCAATCGTGGAAACCATGGAACCCATCCCAATACCAATCATCGACCGTATACCGGAAGAGTCGGGAAGAAATCGGCACCATGATGACCGGAATCGTGCCGCGCTCCGACGACTTGTTGAACAGTTCGAATTCAGATACCCAGGCCCTCAAATCTACCCCAGTCCGGACGTGAGCGATTACCTGGATGATCAAGCCCCGAACGAAATCGAACGGTTCAACGTGCGCATCAAGCCGGAGGTTTCGTACAACGAGAAACGTGATCATTACATCTTCAACGATCAGAAAGCCGATGTCGACGAAGAGAAGGCACTGAAGAAGCTAGTCGAAAATCTGACTCCCATAGACACACCGGACTACACCTTTATCAATCAGAAAGCCTCCTCGTTCCGCGAATACGCCAACAAGCATCACATCCCGAAGATCTCCAACTTTGCCCCGGAAAATGTGAACAGCGTAGCGCACGAAAAGGACGTTTCCAAGCTGGACAAGTTCTACAACAAGAAGCCGCATCACCATCTGAACGATCTGAACGAAATCCCGGATACATTCCGAGAAGATGCCCAGTATGCTCCCTCGGAAGCTGGCCTCTACACCGAAGGAGGTTTCGTGTACGTTCCCAAGGCCGGTACCAACAAGGGTAAAACGGAAGCACGGGCCTTGCTGGACAATATCCTCGGATTTACCCGCCACGAGCGGTTGGACGTGAAGAAACCAGGACCACCGGCCGCTCCGCCTCCATCGTCACAAACACCGAACGAACTACCCAAGGAGGCACTACCCAGCGATTCGGCCGACGACGTAAACGCCAAAAAGCCCAAATCCAAGAAGGAACTGCACCTGCACATGGACGACGACCATGCACCACATTCGGTTGACACGGAGTACGCGTATGTCATTCTGAAGAATCCGTAAGTTTTGGTCAATTTTAGAAGGTGTTAGAAGATTTGAATGAGTATTATTTCGTTTACAGGATCGACAACTGGAAGGATGGAGCACGGATTGTGACTGCGTTGGCTGAAGTTTTGCACATGCAGGGATATTTCACGCATCCAAGGTGAGTAACGTTAAGAGCGACCCTATATGTCCCACCTACAACTTTTTCGCACCTCTTTCAGGGTTGACCGTCGCGAGGTGACGTTTCGCGTCGAGACCAACCCGGAGAAGAAGACCGCCGCGGACATTGCGAAGCAGATCAACAACGACACACGCGTCAAGAACAATCTACAGCGACGGTACGGAGTCCTGGTGACCCTGGCCGGAGTCGGAGACAAGACCAAGGACAGCGCAGATGGAGTTTCGTCGGAACGGCGCATCGAGGAGGGTCCCGATGTAACGCACGTGATGGCATTTATGTTTGCAGGTGAGCTCGCGTGCGATTGCAGCGATCATATGCGAATCGATCGATTGGTAAAGTGTGGGACGTTCTTCCCTTTCAGGAGCTGGTGCCGCGGCAATCATCGTGATCGTGATTACCTTATTTCTTATCAAGAAGCACGATAAAAAGAAGGACAAACTAGGTGGACTGCAGGCCGGGCTCTCCGGGGCGGACAGCTGCAGCAAGGACTACCAGGATCTGTGCCGGGCCAGGATGGCCGGCAAGACCGGAAGCACCGAATCCCCGGGTGGACGCATAACTTCGCTCGCGAAGGAAGCCGAGCGGCCACCGTCGTCCCGGTCCAGTACGTCTTCTTGGTAGGTTTGGGTTGGAGTTATGCCGGGAAATTTTCTTGTTTACAAATGAAGGAGGAAGACCATGATGCATTAAGGAAACTACCAGTTTTCACGAAATTCTGATAACCACTATATTGTTTTGCTATGGAATGACTGCATGTTATTCATGCGAAATGCAGAAAAAATTAAAAATCCCGTTTCGTCGCGTTTTTCCCATTCCTTTAATGTATTGCTTTTCCCAGATTTATTGTATGTTTTGAACATTACCCTTAGGAGTTTCTATATGAACTTCTTCACGAAGAAAAATCTACTTCTCGAACTTCTCGTTTAAATCTCATATGACATGTAGCAAAATTCTATTTGACCTTTTAAAAGGGCCCGTTCATAGCGTTTAAAAACTCCAATAGACTTCTGAACCGTTCTTAGGTGATAGTAAGTGAGATTTTCAAAATTATCCTGAGGTTTCCTGAATTAAGTTCTCTGAAATTTCTGAAAGTTTTTCAAAACTCTCAAGTTCTCTGAGCATCTAGCTTCAAGTTCTCCTGAATTTCTTTGAACATCCATAAATTTGTTTGAGGGTTCCTCCAGCTCCTCTGAGAGTGTTTGACCTTCTCTAAGATTTCCAAAGCTTCTCTGCACAGTTCGAAAAAGTAGTGTAAATTTCTGTTACTATGATGCACATAAATGGAGCGTCACATATCATACAAATTCACATTACAGATCGTGTAAATTTATGAGTCATTTAATGAAATATTCTAAATATTGTATGCAACCATCCATCTTTGTAAGCAATATTTCTTGCAAGTTGCTAGTTTACGTTAAAAGGAAGTTTACATGCTTCAATTTTAGCATGCATGGATATTTACATCACCCTTAAAATTCATAATTTTTTGGTGTGTGCCTTAATTAAACTTGAATTGTTATTTTGCCTAACGAGATTTACAATGAGACTTCCCAAAATTTGCTTCTAAAACTAATTCGGGATTCTTCCTAGATGTTTCCAGAATTTCCTCTAAGAAGTTTGTAGGAACTTTTGTTGGAGCATTTCTTGATAGTTTCTTCATGTTTTCACTGGATTTTCTTTAACGAATTCCTCGTTTTTGACGCTTTGTTATGACTGTTCTTAATTTGGTGTTCTTGAAGCACTTCCTTACCTTACCTTACCAATCAGGCTAAGGCCTTGTTGTCCTCTGCTGTCCGAAGAAGTCGTCTCCACTCAACTCGATCCATGGCCACACTTCGCCAGTCTCGTAGTCTGCGAAGGATCCGCAGGTCACCTTCTACTTGGTCGATCCACCTTGTCCGCTGTGCATCTCTTCTTCTTGTTCCTGTTGGGTCGCTTTCTGGAACCATTTTCACTGGGTCGTCGTGCGGCATTCTTACGACGTGCCCAGCCCACCGTAGTCACCCAATTTTTGCAATGTGGATGGTTCTCCCAGCAGCTGGTGCAATTCGTGGTTCATTCGCCTCCACCACGTTCCGTCATCCATCTGCACTCCACCGTAGATGGTACGCAACACCTTCCGTTCGAAAACACCAAGGGTGCGTTGGTCCTTCACAGCATAGTCCAGGTCTCGTGGCCGTAGAGGACCAGTTTATTCAACCGGACCGTCCTCCGGAGTCCAAAGTAGGCACGATTCCCTGCCATAATGCGTCTTTGAATTTCTCTGCTGGTATCATTTTCGGCGGTCACCAGTGCTCCCAAATACATGAACTCATCGACCACCTCGATTTCGTCACCGTCAATCTGAACTCGGGGTGGGAGGCTAACATTGTCTTCCCTAGAACCTCTTCCTTTTATGTATTTTGTCTTTGATGCGTTGATGGCAAGTCCAATCCACCTAGCTTCAGCCTTCAGTCTGATGTACGTTTCCGCCATCGTCTCAAAGTTCCGTGCCATGATGTCAATGTCATCGGCGAAACCAAGAAGCTGGATGGGCTTCCTGAAGATCGTGCCACTCGTGTCTATCCCAGCTCTTCTGATCACACCTTCTAACGCGATGTTGAATAGAAGGCACGAAAGTTCATCACCTTACCGTAACCTCCTTCGAGATTCATAGGGACTCGATAGTGTCCCCGATACTCCAACAACGCACATCACTCGATCCATCGTCACCTTGACTAATCGCGTCAGTTTATCCGGAAATCCACACTTTGTGCGGAAATGAAGCACTTCCACTGTTATTGATATGCTAATGTTTCCAGAATTTCCACCTAGAAGCTCCTAGCAACTTTTGAGGGAGCTTTTATTTGAAGTTGCTTCGAGTTTCCACTGGATTTTCTTTAACGAATTCACGAGTGCCTTCTACTTTTTCCTGACTTTTGACGTTTTGTTTTGCCTGCTCTAAATTAAGTATTCCCGAAGCACGTCCACAGTTATTCATTGAGAGCTTTCTGTGCTAACCGATGCACAGACTTATGTGTTTTGTAGCAAGCAAAATGTCCAGGGAAATCGATAAATTTTAAAACCCAAAGGAATTCTAGACTGGAACTAAGTTGGCCTCACGTGTACCTCGAAATTTGCATGCAATATTGACGAAGAAGATAGTCCACGGAGGAGAGGGGAGTCTATCTCTCAAAAACTAACTATGTAGTTTATGGACACGCCTCTGTAATTCATTGAGCATATGGAACACTACCCAAAGAAGTGCTCTGAATTTCAGGGATTTTTTCCGAAATGTTCCACAGAATTTTCTGAGCTTCTCGTAAAATCTCTCTAGGCTACCATTTGACATTTTTTAGAAGTCCTTCCAAAGTGTGATAGACGTACATATCTCAGGCTTCTCTACGACATTCTGGGATGGAAGAAAGTCCTAGAATTTGCATTTTTTGGATCTTAGAACTCAGTCCTCTTTCGGCATTCTGACAGTTTCTTGAAGTTTTGAACCTTGATTAGACTTGATTCAGACCTTATGGTAACGATTTCTCCAGAAAATTTGGCAGAAAGTTACTGCTTCGCTTGGCATAATGCATTTGACATACAGTCGTTTGACATAACTTATGCATTTTAAAAAATGGACTTAATTCGGAAGGCGATGAAAAAAAAACAAAAGGTAATCCAATGGAACAAATTTTCCTTAAATCCTACGTTTGCTAAGCCTTCTACAAAAATGCTTCGACGTACTGCTGGGCGGCCTATCAGTAGTTGACCGGAACCTTAGTCGATGAAAAGATGGATATCGGCATGTTCTTCAGCTCTTTCGTGGCCTTGGCGATCAGCTGCTGCTCTGCTTTGGCCACAAAATTATTGGAATAGATCCTCCATTTGAGGTTCGCCCAACAAGTTTTTATCGGTTGCAGCTGGGGAACGTTGGGAGGGTTGACGGTCTTAGGCACAAGGTTTATCTTCAGCCGGACCATCTCCTTTAGTGCTCTCTTGGCATAATGGACTGAGCCAGGTCCAGCCAAAATACCACATACTCCTTCGCGTGATACTTCTTGATGAAGGCGGTAACTTCCGGCAGGCACTTCGTACTGTATCGCTCCCCGTTCACCGCAATCCCCTAAGGAATGTGGCTTGGACATTCCCTTCTCGCTGATCGTCAGCCACAGAAGGACCTTCTTCGAGAACTTGGCGTGGGAGATATATTTGACGTCATCGTTTACCTCCTTGGAGGGGGACGAAAAGTATACGGTCCCCTGCCAGTCATTGCCGTCCAGCGACAAGTAGGTCTCGTCATCCATTACGACCACGGTGTCGCGCTTCGCCGGAAAGATGTTTTTCACCAGCACCTTCAGTCGCTTTTTCTGGGTGATTGCCTGCTGCTCAGACATGGCCGGCCTCGACGGACGCTTCCGGTACTTATTCACCGTTTGGCCAGCCCAAGGCGCGGAACGATGAGGCCACTTTGCCCTAGGTCTTCCTCTTCAGCATCTGCTGCACTTTAAGGTCACGCAGCACCGTCGGGTGTCCGAAACCAGGCTTCCGTTCGAAGCTCTCGCCTTTTTCCAGAAGGGAGAGGATGTTGTAAATGCCGGATCGGCTATATCCGGTGGAAACGGATGTCCAACTTCTACGCTCCGGGCTGGAGCTTGCAGTACGAACAAACCATCGAGCGTAGTTGCTTGACTGTTTTCGCCATGGCTGCTGCAAATCAACTGTCATTTTTTTTTTTCTGTACACAACAGGGTTGCTATGATTGCCGATGCATAGGTGGATTCACCGGCAGGTGGAAGGGTAATCGCAAGAAAAATCGCTAAAATCAGTCCATTTTTTTAATGCATACGTTACAGCCGTTTGGCATAAAGTCGTTGGTCATAACAATCGTTTCGCACAATGCCGTAAGAAAGTTGTTTTTTAGTACTTTAACTATTTTGTTTGTATTACTTCATGCGTGAATCGTTAATCGTTAAACATATTTGAAGATGCTAAGTGTCTAATAAAAGACTTAAAGTGGTAATTTTATACGATAGATGAGGAGATGAAAGTATAGAATTGATAGTTACGTTAAAATACGGCAGTGTAAAAATTGTACATAGATAGTAGAAAACGAGCAAGGGCAACTTTGAGGAAGGTACGAATCGGGTTAATCATCTCTCTTTACCAAAGTCCCCAGTTGGAGAGAGATGCCTCTCTTCAGATAACGACTTGAGTGCGGTACAATCGATAGAACTGTTTCCACACATCGAATGTACATGAGCAAATCGGCGATCATCTCTTTTTGCCGGTGGTGGCAGTCATTCTGGGAAATATTCTGCTCAAAATCAGTTTATTAATATAATCGATTCATCCCCAATGTCGCGCAGTATATATTTGGATTGTTGCAAAGGAACGGATTTTCAAAATCATTATGTTTATTTATTTTTTCAAAAACCCGGTGTGATTTGGGCGTAATTGCATTTGTAAACAAACACGTCACTCACCGATTTCTTGCGAATAAAAGCTCAATCTCGAACACAAATAATGATTCCTCTATCATTGGGTATAGTTTGTTTATGAGATTGAGCATTTATTCGCGAGAAATCAGTAATTGATATATTTGTTAACAAAAGCAATTACGCCCAAATCTCAAATCACGCCGGAAATGTCATTACAATCGACTGATCGGTTAACAGCTTCAAGCACCATATTAGCTTACCAAGCGTATTAAGTACTAAACGACTATTTTGACAAATGACCATTATGCCAAACGGGGTAGACCCGGTAGAAATCCCCTGTTTACAAAACAATTTTCCAGCTAACCTCCAGCACTGATTGAAACGCTTGCAACCCTTTCCAGGAGCGAGGAACCCGCGCTAACGAACATGGACATCTCTACCGGCCATATGGTTCTGTCGTACATGGAGGACCATCTGAGGAACAAGGGAAGACTTCAGCGCGAGTGGGAAGCACTGTGCCGGTACGAAGCGGAACCGAGCGCTCGCGATGCGGCTCTGCAGACTCAGTGTGCTCCGTTGAATCGGCCGGGAGCTCCGCTGCCGTACGACCACTCGCGAGTGGTGCTGAACCATCTGGCCAACGCGGAAGGAATGGACTACATCAACGCTTCAACGATTGTAAGTCGAATCCGACGGGGACGGAGAGGGGTCCCTAGAATGATACAGTTCTTTCCCTTTCAGACGGATCATGATCCTCGGGCACCGGCATACGTAGCGGCCCAGGGTCCGATGCAGTCCACGCTGGCACACTTCTGGCAGATGGTGTGGGAACAGGGAGCCGTCGTGTTGGTGGCTCTCTGTCGACTGCAGGAGAACGGCGAAGCGGCATGTGCTCGCTACTGGCCAGAGGAAGGAGCCGAGGTGTACCACATCTACGAGGTCCATCTGGTCAGCGAACACATCTGGTGCGACGATTACCTGGTGCGATCGTTCTATCTGAAGAACCTCCGGACCGGTGAGACTCGAACCGTGACGCAGTTCCACTTCCTGTCGTGGCCTCAGGGTGGAGTACCAACCTCGGCCAAGGCACTGCTGGACTTCCGGCGGAAGGTGAACAAGTCCTACCGGGGACGATCGTGCCCGATCGTCGTTCACAGCAGGTTAGTTCATGGGTTTTGGGTTGTGCGAAAGCTTGAATGCTCTAATGTGCTTATTTGTGCGTAGTAATGGATCCGGTCGCACGGGAGCATACATCCTGCTGGATCTGGTGCTCGGCCGGATGAACAAGGGCGCCCGGGAGATCGACATAGCGGCCACGTTGGAGCACTTGCGTGATCAACGGGCGGGCCTGGTGGCCACGAGGCAGCAGTTTGAGTTTGTGTTGATGGCCGTTGCCGAGGAGGTTCATGCAATACTGAAGGCTTTGCCGCAGAATTCCAATGCCAGTGGCGAGAAGCGACCCAGCGATCCAACGACGACGACGACGACGACGACGACAACGACGGCGGCAACAACGACGGCAGCGGCGACGACAGCGGCGGGGGAAAAGGACCAAGCGGCCACGGCAACGGTAGCGGCGCCAAGTGGTGCTAAGGAACCGGAGGACACAGAGGCAAAGAAAAAGGACAGCAAACCGGCGGAAAAGTAAACAATAGATGAAGTCAGAGCAGGGAGTTTTTAAGGTTTTTTATATTTTCGTTTGTTTTAGAGGTTAGGATGAAATGTGGATGATCTATGAAATTTTTCCGTTGTTTGAGGTTCGGTTTTTGCCCCCCAAAAACACGTTGCTCAAAGAGAAGAAGTATCTTACGGTTTGCGTTTGATCATTTGACGATTGAATTTTAGTTCGAATTCATTGCTTTCATGATCAAAGTATTTTGCCTTAGCACAATTGTTTTTGTTTATAAATGAAATTGTTTGAGTGCAATTTGATTTGACAGAACCTGAATCACACGATACTGGAAAACCAATGCAAACGTCTTAGGGAATTTTGAATGACACAAGATGAAAACCAAAACAAATTATATGACATAACCGTTATTTAATCGATCCTTATAAGAGTAATGGAACCAAAAAAAAATCTTGAAAAAAATAATTATTATCTGTCAATTTTGCTGACTAGTAATAGGAAATGAATTGACAACGCATCCTACACTAAAAAAACACAAATTTCAATGAAAAGGGGCGTGCTTTTCCTCGCTCAGTTTCCAGGAAAAGCCCGCCGCTCAGTATTCAAAGTTTTTTCAAGCATCTATTGGGAAACATTTATATATAAAAAAATAAACAAACAACTTACTCAACATCACATGAGGCCGTCAACCGTTCCGATCAAGATCCGCCGCCAGCCAGCGCACGCGGACGGTTGGACGTGCGATCCGGGGATGATCCGACCGCCCTGAAAAACAAAACAAAAACAACCAATCGTAAAACGTGTGTGTGTAGACAAATATGAGTAGACGAATGGAAACAAAATAAGATATCATTATTGAATTATTTCTATAAACTATCATACGAGACAGTAATAACAGCAAACACAACAAACAAACAAAAACTCATACATATAAACAAATAGCGCAAACAACACAACTCTGACATCTAACCACATACCAAGTTCACATATGTACCTCTAAAGAGAAACTTTTTTAAGACAAAGATGAATTTTAATCGACGTTAGAAATGAAGATAACCGAATTGAAAAGTATATATTTTGAAGCGTGGAGCGGACGAAGGAGCAGCAGAAAGTAAGTTGACGTTATGAAGTTTGTAGAAAATCAATCGCTCGAATGACAGATCAGATGCAACCGGTACACATCATCCAAAACACACACACCTAGCAGGCTATGAGAAAACAGCGCAAGCAAACAAATACATAAACAAACGAGTACAGAGTGCCATCTGGTGGCATATTAGTTGAATTAACGTTGGTGCAGCTATTAGATAGATTAATAGGGGGACATTTTGGCACTTTGGACTGGAGAGCCCTCCGGGCAGAGTCAAGTGGAAGATTTGAAAATATATATTTTTTGATTCCTTATTGGATTTGACAACGTAAGGAAAAGAGAAGACTTCACACGGACACTTATTTTGAGTACTAGTCACGGCAAAAATCATGCGATTGTTCGATGAAAATGATGAACATGGTAGCATTAAGTAGCTTTTAAAAGTATAGAAATGGCTCTTCACGCATTTCCTAAATATTATACCTAAAGGCAAACAGAAAAAAAAATCTAGACTTGTAAGACACCGTAAACATACAGCAAATGGTACATTTTCGCACGTCTCCAACAGCAAGGTGTATTTATGAATTATTGAATATCGCTAACAAACAAAAAAGTATAATGTAAACATGCACACAAACATAAACAAATATATATTGGCTCACCCGTTCCTGTCAACGTACTCTAAACTATCCAGCCAGTTTAGGTTCGTTGACAGGAGAAATCATAAAAAAAAACAAAAGAACTTTTTAGCTGTTTTCCCTTTCAAAGAATAAACGACGTTCACCGCGAGTGGAGGCAAATTTTCGCCGTATTCCTCCCTGTTTGTTTACATTTTCTAATTTCGGGGGCCATACCGAAAGCATAGATACCATTTTTTCCCCATTGAACAAACCTACGCTGGCGACAAAATTTGCCTCCCGCTCGTCCGGTTGAGCGAGAGACGCAGCAGGAGCTAGACTTGATTATTGAATATTAAAAGAAAAGAATGACAAACATCCAATCGAGGCAACTATTTATTTACATTTGAACTGTCAAACGAGTTATGCAGAGACTGATGTCTATATATACTTTTTACTACACCAGTTTGATTTTTGCTACTAGACTTTTGTCCCACTACTTCTGGTTCCGGGAGCCGATACTTTAACAATTGAATTTGTTTTGGAAAAATATCTGTCCTTTGATTCTTCTGGAGCAAAAACTTCACAAAGAAGCAGATCTAACCTATCCGACAAACACTATAAGGAAGGAACCTTACAAAATATTCAATGTCATAAAGTTTTTAAAACTAAATGATGCATCAAACTTTTTAATTCCTTATTCCTAACGTTGTAGACGTATTACATATATATATATATACAATACAGAGAGTCATATACATAAACAAAAGAAAAGAAAACGAGTATATACAAAGTTATCCTTAAAACAATACAGAATCACAAAATGGGGCTTATTATTATACATTAATCATTGTTTAATCTTAGCAACTTATCACAATCAGTTGACGGAGAAACATTTGTTGTTTAGGTAGAATATCGCACTGATGGCGCGGGCAGCAACGGCAACCGAAGCTGTCAAACGTGCACATTCGATTGCTGGCATCCCTCCCGGGCCGTCAGTGCGGTTTGTTGTGAGAAGAGAAGCATTGAAGGTGTTGAACAAAATTCAAACAAATACAACCTAATCCTTTAGGACAAAGAACAAAAAAAAACTTATAGACATTATATATTCTGCGGTAGACGCGGAAAGCAAAGATAAATATTCATATATTCTTGTGTATAAATGTCCACACACAATAGAGCATAATAATCTTATCGGAAAAACAGCAGAAGAAGCGCAGTGCCGACGCCGAAGCAAAGTGTATATCAGCTAGTCTCGAACGGATAAGTGTGCAAAAATGTGCTTGTAAAAATTGGAATCAGTACGAACTTTATGTAGCATTCAGATGATAAAATTCAAAATCTTAACGATTCGAACAATGAATAAAGAACACGAAAAGAGAAACACTTAAATTACGTTTTTTAAACATTCAGTCCCCCCCACAACATATTTTCAACACTCACATCTCAGTGAAACCATCAACAATGAAACGAAACAAAACCGACGACAACCAATGGCAACGCAACAAAGGATAAATGATAGAAAAACTAACGGAAAACGGAATCGAACGACATGCACATGGAGAAATCATTCATATACATACATATTTATCGCGTGGATACCACACTCTTTAAAAAAAATACAATGTTTCCAACCAAACACTAATCACCAGAGAAGATAAAAAAAAACAGAAGCCACCCACAGAAACAAAAATTAAAAAGAGAAGTTCAAATGCCACCATGAATAATTGACTAATTAGCACGAGGGAGAAGAGAAGGACTTAAAATAATATCAAACTTCTAACTGTCTTGCCACAAATTATAATCAATACACACAATATGTCAACAGAAGATAAAAAAAAATACAACCAACACATCTCTATTAACTGTTGTGTACTGCATTATTATACAAATATATACATACACAGAAACCACTGAGTCGAAAAACCAATACCAGCAAATAAAGGCAAACATGAATATGAGCAAAACCATCTGCGTTATTAAAACAAAATACACAACTGCATGTGATTATCTCTTTAACTGATTTTAAGAACTCGTTGGAGAAGTGCTTGACGTATGGAATGTTGAATTGAAGAAAAGAAACAAAAACAAAAAAGTACCGAAATGGTGGGGATTTCCGCGGAGGTGGATCAGAACAAAAAAAAAATCTTAATGAAAACAAAGAAACAAACATGAATTATGTACTATATACAAACAGAGCGATCCAGAGAGTTATTGTAATCAAATGTGTATAATGTTGTGAAATACCTTTTTGCCTGAGATATAAACACAGAATATACTAATATAAAACTGAACAAACTGGAGAGCAAATTGATGCATGAAATAGATGGAAGGCGGGGAAGAAATCTACGTGACACGACATGCCAACATTACACAGAGGACGGGGAGAGGAATTGCGAATGCGGCGGGCGTCCTAGTAGGCGCACGAGGATCCAGAAAAAAAGAGAAAATCGAACAGAAGGGTAATAAAGTCCAATTATGACAGTCACGAGTAACAAACAATACAGTCGCCGTGTCTGGTGGCGGTGGTGGTTTCCTTTGCCTTGTTTGCCCGGTTGAATATCACAGTTTTGGATTTGTCTCCTGAACGTGTTGGAGGAGTGGTTGTTCAACAGAAACCAACTTACACGGATAGAAATCTCCTTATAACTTTTGGCAAATTTCCATTGCTGATTATTCATAAATTGTATAAGTCAACTAATAAGCAGACGCCTTGCAAAAAGTTAATAAAGATCATGTGTCAAATGAAATGTATAAGCGGTCACACATACCTTTTATGCATTCTAATAGGACCTATGTGGTTTGTCTTATGGAATGTATAAGACTGATGCTTTGGCAAAAATGTATAAGTGAAACACATAAATTAAATAATTGATTTTCGTTTCGTGTAGGTGAGTTTAAAGGAAGTTGTCAAGGGGTATTCAACTCTGCACACAATAATCTGTACCGAAAGCTAAGCCTACACGGCAAGAAAAAAATACTCAAAATTAAGTTTAAAAAAACTCAACGTTGGGTTCTATCATTTGAGGTCTGCCGTTGAGTGAATCAGAAAAGCGGCGTTGGTTAAAATTTACTCAACTATTGAGTAATAATAAATGAACTCAAATATAAGTTTATTTTCATTGAGGTTGCTCTTATGCGCCTTAAGCCATTTCAGTTTTACAAGCGTTGATAGACAAGTGGTCAACACACGGGCCCCGTAATCTCAACGTCCATGGTTCGGTTCCAGTCTGCTCCGTTTTATTATTTTTTGTCAACTTGGTCAACGATCAGGATTACTCAAAATTGAGTTTTCTTCTTTAACTTAATTTTACCTAGCCCCACGGAAGCCACGTGATGAGTGAAAGGAACTCAATTTTGGGTACTTTTTTCTTACCGTGTAGCGCTGTGTTGGACATGACCAAGTAAGTCATGAGTTTGGCAACCCTGAATTTATAATGACTTTTGTGTTTGTCTTGTTTATTGAGCATTATTTATATAATAAATTATTAACACATCCCTGGTTTGGTTCTGATTTCGGCGTTGGTCGCGAGTTGATTGGGCCGGTGAGGAGCTGCCGTCGCGAGTGATTGGTGATGGAAAGTGGATGCAGTCCTTTTTTTCTCTGCTGAGATCCCTCTAGAGTGTATTTCGTGGTTGATGGGGTTTGCTCTGCTGTGTGAGAACCGAAAGGCGAGAGTACCTACTGTTTTTAACACCGGTTGAAGAAGTAGCGGCAGCATATCTATAGGAGCTCTTCGAAATCATCGTGATGTCATGGATTCCTTTGAAACATATCGGGTGAGATCTTTCCTTTATTTTTCTCGTAATCCCATTTTATTGTTAATCATGTTAGCTATACATCACACTTTACACTTTACATTTACATCCTTACATTATTAGTAATTAGAGATAAAAATATATATTTGCTTAATATAACCTTGAAAGTTCAGTGTTACATCCACTTGATATTGTGGATGTGCATCTTATTATTATTTTCTTTGCAGAATATCAGAATTTATATTCATTATTTCATATTTAATTTCTCCACTACATATATTTTCATTATATAAATAAATACTGGGTTGGGAGGGAGCATCAGGGTATCATTTGACCTGAGACTGGACGATGGAGTGGTATGACAACCGGAGTCTAGGAGGGAATAAACACTATCATTTTCTTTATCCTACCGATTCGATTGTGGTGGTGTGAATTCTACTTCAACAGTTTCAGTGAGATTGGCACGTCCTTCTTTACAAACCATCCTGTAGGAAGCTTAATAAGTATTGCGAATTGTGTTATTCGATTTGTTGGATCGTATCGTTGGAAGGAGATTCTTAAATTCCCGTGGATTTCGTGTAAGTGTCTCTGCTTACGGGTCCGCACCTCCGTTTTTGGCCCTTCATACAGCGATATTGTGAATTCAGATCGGTAGCTCAAATTGATCTTGCTATTAAGTGGAGCTGCATACAAGACAAGATCTTTGAAGGGATGGTGGCTACCTTACATACATACATACATACTTTTGTGTTTGTCATGTTTATATTCATTATCTGTTTATTTTTCCAGGCTCATTTGCTCTAGCTTTGCGGAGCCGATATTCATTGTTTACATCACAAAATTACTTAAAACTAACGTTAGTAAAGCGGGGGCCGATTACTCGCGGTTAGGGGTGACAAATTGTAACCAATGGATGGCAGGGTAGGGATTGAGAACACAAGATTTGGAGAGCAATGTGCCTTTGATCTCGAACTAAGCGACATACTGATGAAAAAGACAAACATGGGGGTCCACCGATGGGCAGCTAACAACTTGGGAGAACACAAGATGACACTAACTACTAAATCCTCAAATCTATCCGTTTTAAAAACACATAAATTAAATTCAAATAGTCGCAATATCGGCTAGCCAAGACATCTCTAACGGGAATCGCGGGTTGTTTTCCTCGGGCCCTGAGGGATGTGGATAACTCAGATCTGGCAACACGGTGTAGGGTACATGACCAAACAACATGCTCGATATCATGATAACCACTGCCACAGAGCCCAATTCGATAGAAGTGCGAGTCTAACGAACAGTGATTGGACATAAGCCTTGACATAACGCGTATAAAGTCATGGCTCATGTCCAACCCTTTGAACCATGGTTTGTTCGACACCTGTGGGAGAATAGAATCAGAACCCCCTTCACTCTTTGGAATTTATAGAGACAGATAACAGTGCCAAACGGTTATTGTGTTATTGTGTTTTTGACGAGACAACGTTGAACTGCTGCGTTGGAAGAAAACACGCACACCAACATCTATACATGTACGAACCCACACATCTGAGCGGATGGTACAGCGCAAATCAAAACACGAAGCGGTGTCATCACTCATCGTAATTAGAGTCGGTGTATAATGAGTCACGCCAAGAGTGAAGCCAAACCGGCTACCTATCGTGCAAAGTAAACAAACATTACGATGCTATGAAAGGTCCACGAAAGGTATTGCAATAAAATTTAAAACATAATTGAAGAAATGATCATAAACACGCAGTGAACATTAAATTGTCATGGGATACGTTTGGTAATGATCAGTAATGAGAATTTCTACTATTTTTTGTTAAGATGATTGGACAAAATCACTGATATAATGATTTACAACAGCTGCTATTTTTTTTTTGCTCGCTAGAAGTCATTTGAAGTTGATGTAGCAGTCCTCTGTTGCCAAGTGAAAAGAAAGGGAATCTTTCGAAACCCGTGATGCGAGTTCAACTGTTTTTCTCTTGGCGTGACTCATTATACACCGACTCGAATCGTAATCATTCAGCTTCGGCTACTACCGTTTGCGTTTTTTTTTTCACCTGTGTTGTCAAATACTTCCTACGTTATAAAATAGGAACGTAATGAGTATTCCAATGTAATTTTTGAATGAAATGCGTGCTGCGTTGGCCGAAGAATACAGCATATTATATTACTTTTAGCCTCGCGTTTAGCAATGATTTCGATACTTTGCATTTCCAGTGGCTGGGGTGATGGAATATTTTTTTAGAGAGAGGGAAGGGGTTTTTCCCATGTTTACTTGCATGCTTATTAAGATTACATATCAGTGCCAACATTTCAAAGGGGCGTAATTGCATTTGTAAACAATGGCTTTAGCCGTCGATTTCTCACGAATAACAGCTCACTCATGAAAAATAATGACACCAGCAGGTAGATGAATGTTTCCTCTACCAGCTAGCATTGTTATTTTGGAGAGGTAAGATTTCATTCGCGAGAAATTGACGGCTAAAGTCATTGTTTACAAAAGCAATTACGCCCCTTTGAAATGTTGGCACTGATATGTTGAAGAACAGCTCCGCAAATCATCAATTACTGTTAGAGATTTGCATCTTACTGATACCGGTGGTACATTGGAAACTCTTTCGCTCGAA